GCCACTGCCGGCTCCCACCCCGGCCCTGCTCATGGGCTTCTCGGGGGTGCCAGGCAGAGAGGGGAGGACATGCCATCTGTCTTGTCCCCTTAGAGGGGCACCTTGGCCCCACTCGGATTTCCGAGGGTGCCAGAGGTTATCATGGTGCGATCCCTGCCGTGCCACCCGGGGAGGTCCCGCACCCCGGGGTGCCTGGGCTGGCGCGCGGGCAGCCGCAGGGGATGGGAGGCGTAAAGGGAACGGGGGGCTGCTCCCGTCTGCTTTTATTCTCTATGATCTTTCAATGCAACCTGAAAGCTGAGTGTCTGCAGGGTGAAATGGCCTCAGCTCCTGCTGGCTTCATGCCACATCTGAGGAGCTGGCCTTCTGCAGGCAGAACTGCCTGCTCTTGCCTGGACACCTGCCCTGGCACACCCTGGTCTACTTCTGAAACTGGGGGTTGGTCCTCCTAGGGAGAGGCAGGGCTGTCCCAGCCATGCGTACAGAGCGGGGCCTCCCCTCTCCTCGGTTTTTTGCATGTGGGGTTGGGAAGGAGCAGGAAGAGGCTTAGCAGGGTCTCATGGGTCCGGGGAGTGTGTGGAGCAGGAGGAGACTGGCCGCCTGGGCTGCCTTTGCAAGATTGCCTTGCCACCGCGGTTTTGGCTGCGAAAGGGAACACTGGGTGCCAAAGCCAGTGGTGGACCTCAGAGGAGGTCAGCACGGGGGGGGCACCGCCTGTGTGCATTTCAGCCCCTCTGCCTCAGTGCTTGGGGGAGTGGGGTGGCAGCACCCATGCAAGTCCCACCACCAGCCCGCCTCCATGCCTCGGCTCCCCAGCAGACCCCCAGCGGGTTTCAGTGCTCGGGACCACCCGTGACATGGCCCAGCAGAAAGTCCTCCATTTCCTACTCACAGCCCTGCTGGGGGCAGGAGGCGGCTTGGCCACCGCTCGTGCCATTGCTGGAGAGGAGCAAAAAGCACCGAGCCAAGTTGGGAACAAGCCAGGTGCTGCTGGGTGCACCCTGTGTCTGCCCAGGTCCCCAGTGAGAGGCAGCCCAGAGAAAGCAAGTCGTGGGCGCACCCTGTGCTCCTCAGACTCATTGCCTGGCCAGGCGAGCCAGTGTGGCTCCAAAGGAGGAAGACGCACGTGCTAATAATGTCAGTACCTGGTGTCTGCAGATCATGGATCATGGTGCTCTCCATTGGCGCTTTGGTCTTGCCTGGGTTTTATTCAGCTTTTCACAGGTCCATGGCAGTTCCTCCCAGCATATTTTGGGAGCTCCCAAGTTTCCTGCAGAGAAACTAGGCTGAGCACCTTTATCCCTGGAAACTCAGTTGCTGAACCTGGCAGAAACTGTTCATAGCTTTTATTTAGCAAATTTTATGCATCAGAGGAAATAAAAGAGCAAGTCAAGCACACGTAAAGAAGAATGGAGTCATTTCTAGACTAGAGGTTTTACCCAAGGCTGTTGGCTAGTCCATGTTTTTCTGCAGGACACTGTTGGACATCTGCACTGTTGGGTGCAGAGGTCCTTGGTTGACTGTCCTGTGCTAGGTCTGTCCTTTTTGCAGGAGCTTTCTCCAGGGCCAGTGAATATCCACGGTCTGATAAGTCTTTGGGGAGTCTGTCTGGGAGTGTCTTATATATGTTGAGTGTATGTTGATCTCTTTGCCTTGGTTACTGATAGAATATTGCATCCTTGGTCATCAGTACCTAAGACTTCATTGCTGGTAAAACAAAAGTATTAATGAAGTTATCACTGAATTATTCTTATTTAACTATTATTCCACACTCGTATTCCCAGACTCCAGTTATGGGTGCTATCAAAACATAGGCAGACACCGTCCATTTCCCAACAGGCGTGCAGTCTGAGAGGACCAGTGTTATGTAAAGGGTGAGAAGGAGAACACACCGAATAAGCATGGATGGAGACCACGGAGACCTGGTAAATTTTCACGACCATTACATGTTCCCTAGCCCAAATTGTCATTTGCTCACTAGTTTCTGGTAAAGAGGTAGGTCATAAAGAGGTGGTCAAGAGGGGGTGGCAGTGGTCTTGTGGCTTGGTTCTGGGAGCCTGGGACGTGTGTGGGGAGGCTCAGCAACAGACATAGAGGTGTTTGTATGGGAAACAGACAAATTGAGCGGCCGAGGCCATGGAAGAGATGAGCTTGTTATCTTTTGTCATTTGGCAGAACATCTTCATATTTCCTCTCCCATATCATATGTCACCACTAACATCAGCAGACTATCAGAGGAGCTTATTTACCATCAGTGCACAGACTTCCTTAAAACAACCTCCCATTAAATGTGCCAAGTGTCCAGTATTGGACCCATGCATGAAGCAGGACCTCTGCAAACAGCCTTTCTTGAAGGAGACTTTCAATAGCTCAGCCAATTTGTTAGCTTGGCTGCTCTCTGAGGAAATGCTCTTATATTAAGGACTGTTACCCAGGATTTGCACCCTCCTCCTCTTTATACTGGGTATGTCAACCAGTCTAACCCCCCAAAAGGAAACTATATTCTGTAATAAATGGTCCAAGGGCAAGTAGAAAAATTTCTTGCATTGAGCACCCCCAAAAGCTGGTTGAAAGCCGAGTGGGTGTTCTGCCTCGCTGCCTCTATGGTTTGGACAATACAGGCATGAACTGGAGCATGAGAAACAAGCAGTGTTGTTCCTCACGCAAGCACCTTACACACCTGGAGGCTTTGAGGGCACCCTGAGAAAAGTAGACATTAAGAAAGCGTTCATTTTTATATCCCATCAAAGATTCTGTCCAGCCCACTGGTATTTAAGTGATGAATCTCTAAGCTTCCACTACTTAAGTTTATTGTGGGTTTTATATATAATATATATAAAATGTCTTTTACTCCTACAAAATTTCATAGAGAAGAATTCTTTATTCTGATGCTGCAATAAAGCACTTTATATATGTATGTGTTGCTGAGTTCATTCAGTTGGGACTGAAGCATATGTTGCTATTTGTTTTGGTTGAGAGGGATGGCACTACGTTGAATGCTATGTGTCTTGGGTCCCCAGCCCCAATGCCGTACTGCAAAGACCCTGGTGGCTTCGCTTCCTTCCCTTAGCATTTGCATTTGATGGTGTCTGGCTGCAAGAATCGCAGCTAACAGACTATCTGGAGCCCACCGCTACAGCCATGGATATGTGAAGTTCTGCTCACAGGGAAGGAAGCCTCCCGTGAGAAGACCATCAGAGTCAGTGCTGAGAAGCAAATGCATTGCCTGTGCCTCAGCCCTGACCCCAGGTTTTATTCCATACTCAGCCTGGCCAGAGCTGGGTGCCGGCCGACCTTACACCAGCGCACTGCTTTAAGCAGGTGTTGAGCATGGGAGCGAGTTAAACCCCCAGCATCATCCCAGATGGAGAACTGGTTTGGCAAACCACCTCCAGAGCCAGCAGCTAATGGTAGCAGGGGGATTTGCAAAGCTTTCCAGGGATCACAACTTTTTGTTGCCATTAATTTGCTGCATAAATCGTGATCACTTCCAAGCTCTTGCTATTTCCAGCTGTTTTCCCTCCTTCTCTCTTGCTCCTTTTGCTTTGTGCTGGCTGCACATCTGTCAAGGGTTATCTGCTACTCCAGCACAGGGTTCTGCTTGCAGCTGCCTGGCGCCATTGCTGGCCCCTGCCTGGATGGAGCAGATGGCTCCTCTCCGTGAAGGATGCCCTGAGCTTCCCGCTGGTCTTCTGCAAGATCAAAAACATTGTTGCATGGAGCCCGAGCCCTGCTCTGCAAAAAGCTCCTGGAAGGGCAGGCAGCAGTTACTACTGTGTATATAACATGCCTAACATGCTTTATCCTCTGCAACAAGGTCCTTGCTGTGCTGGATGCTGAGCCCTGCTCCGAAACTCCTGGGCTATAGAAATCCCACAGCCAGAGGATGGAAGCAGGAAGAATTGCTGCCCTAATTCTGGAGGTGCTCAAGACCTGGAGGTGTCACCTGAAATCACAGAGTGAGTCTGCAGCTGACTCTCAAGCTGCTTTGAACACAAGACTTCTTGACCAGTTGAGTTGTCTTAGTTTACCAGCCTGGACCGGAGCTTTGTGTGGCTCAGCTGTACCAGTTCCCTGGCACCTGACTTGCAGCTGAGTTAGTTTGAACACAGGAGGAGCCGTGCCCAGATTTTGCTAGGCACCATGGTCACCATGTCCTTCCTGACCTCCCCTCTTGGCCCCAGACAAGTCAGGAGCAAGCTGTGCAAAGACCTTCTGACTGAGAATGACACCTTGAAGGCACGGGTGCGTGGGTGCGCCTGGGGGACAGGCGGGGTGAGTGCAGCCCCCCTCTCAGGGATGAGATTTCATAGAAACACGATTACGGCAACAGAGATCCCATTAGCTGTCTGCTTTTTTTCGGGGCTCCTGCTCCAAGAATCTGCTTGTTGGAAAGCACACAAAAAGCCCAGCTGGGCCCAGAAGGCGCCGCTTTGGGAGGAGAAGACAGAGGATGATAATGCCAGGAGAGTTTGGCCAAAGCCTGTGGAGCAGACCTGAATCGCAAACCTGAGCCTAGGAAAGAGCAAAGTGTG